GGGGGGGGAGCTTACATTCAAGGGACTTATAGATATAGTCGTGAGGTTCACCATACTGTATGCATGTATTCATTTATTTATACTTAGGTACAGTATCATACTCTAGGGGTTATGAACAGAAGCAGTAGCTTTCAGTATCTCCTAGAACTATCATAGTTATACAATTATCTTATAATGTACACAAAATATATACAATGTTCCTTTTTATGAAAATATATATAAAACGAAAACAGTCTATTCTGAAGTAATTTTACGCTATTTTACAACAACTATGCATGCATTAAATATTATAATACACTAAACATACCCTTCCTGATGAAATATCATCCATTAGAAGGCCCGAAAAAGAAATAAATAAAATAAAATCGTGAATTCTTTTCACAAAATATCTAAAAGCATTCTGTTGCTTCGGACAACCGGTGAACACTTTTTTCCATCCAGCAAACCGCCCTATCGATTTTGTAAAGTCGTTTCTTTTTGGATTTTTTCATTAATTCGGTTAGGGTTAGAGTTAGGGTTGAGGTTAGGGTTAGGGGTTAGGGTAGGGGTAGGGTTTGGGTTAGTTACATAGCCATTTAACACCTGCGAAAATGACGCCAGGTCAGTTTGCTGGATGGAAAATAGTGCTAACCCGGACAACCAGTTTGCCACTGATCTCTATATACCGTCGTTGGCATCGTAACATTCACAGATCGATAAACACATAGCGCAGGTGTAGAAATAATTAAATTAAATTAAATGAAAACGCAAGATATAAAGCAAAACAAAACTATTTTATTTTGATTTGTTACAGTTTTATTTTCAACCTTTACTGTAGAAGAAGCAACGTAATTTGACATTAAAATTCAATTGACACCATGATAGATTTCAGTCATCGTCACTATCAGACCAAACAGTAAGAACAGACTCATTCACTGGAATTCTGTAACGGAAAGTGATGTGAAAATACTGCTGAGTTCATCTCATTTCACCAACAAACATGACAATAAACTTGCCACCAAAAAGTACCACAGTGTATAAATTGTTGCATGGTTCTTTCATCTTAATGCTTCGTTAAAACACAGTTGGAACACTCATAAAACTTTTATTTTGTTCATCTAGAGCTTGGAATGTCCCCTGTAGCAATGCGTGCCAACTCTTATCAACTCTCATTCTTGCAATATACACTTGTATGATTATAATTTCACATCAGCCATTGGTTTCCTCATGCAGTGGACCAACATATCCAATACTGGGCACAGTTCCTGATGAAACTCTAGAGAGCAGTTTAAACTCAGATAGTATTAGTCTATACGACTTAACGACCACTGCGTTCGGCTGTACCTATGACTCCGCAAAAAGTACCTGTTTATATCAGCTTCAGGAGACATAAAGTTTGATAACCAGTTCTTCTTTGATTTGCCTTTGATCAGAGGTTTCTTATCAATCCCGTTCTTTCTCTTGCGGACTTCTCTGCAAGATAAATTCATGGAAAAAGTCAGATGAAATACTAATCAATTATATACAAAAAAATACGTGACTGACGAAGAGTTTCAAAGATTTTAAAATTTTTTTCTGGTAGTTCAGCCACAAATAAGGCAGCATATATATTATTCTAGGGCAGCATTATATTCATCAGGCAGCATATATATTATATCTGCATCACCTCGCATACAAAATAAATGCGAACAATGCAATACCAAGTACCACGATAGCACAAGATCCCCCAATTATTGGAGCCATGTTGACTTCATCTTTAAAAATAAAAAAAATTATTATAGTATTTCATGTTTTACCATAGCCGCATGAGACTGGAGGCTGGGGGGGGGGGGCTGCAGCCTCAAATATTTTTTTAGGCGGGCATATTTCTTGCCGAAGTGAAAGCCCGTGCATTACTGACCACTTCTAAAATAGCCTTCGAGAATAAATGCCTGTGAGTATAACTTGCCTTCATCTTCATTCAAACAAAGTCTTCCATCTTTAAAGTCTTGAAATCCAGCACGACATACACAGGAGAAGCTGCCGATGGTGTTGACGCAAATAGCATCACGGTGACAATTATCTTCGCCTTTTGCGCATTCGTCAATATCTGAACAGAAATATAAAGGAAAAAATCTCACAACTTGTCAACAAGACGTGTTCCCAACAGCCTTGTGTCAAGCTTGCCAACAAGTTGTAACAATGCTGTTATTTTATCAAATTGCTACAAAGTTGTCACTCACAACTTGTTGACAAATTGTTGAATTGCAGGAGGATAACAAGTTGTTGGAACAACTTGTAACAACTCTGTTGAGCTCAACAACCTTGTAGCAAGTTTTCAACAAGCCGTTAACAACTTGTCAACAAGCTGGGAACAAGCAGTGCGAACACATCCTGGTGACAAGTTGTTGGAACAGCATTGTTACAAGTCTGCTACAGGTTTGTTACAACTTGTGCGTTTTTACCATAGAAATAATAGACATAGATAGGTCTAATATTTCTATGGTTTTTACGTGTGTGAAAACACCAACGAAGTTGTCGTAACCTCTGAGAGCAGTTGTGGTAGGGAAAAGTAGGTGGCTCGCTCTATAAGTTTTCAAATATGGATCGTCCACTAACCAATACATGTGTGGCCATGATTTGAATATCCTTCGGGACAAACACACTTGTATGAACCCTCTGTGTTTTGGCATTCCGCGATTGGGTCGCAAGGATCGGTTTTCGTCTTGCATTCATCGACATCTACACAGAGACAAATATGGAGAGATAACTAGGAAAGATAGCGAGCAAAGAGTGTGCACTTACTAATTGTTAAATAGTAAGCAGAGGTCAGTTGTTAGCGCTAAGCCTGGATTAAAATTTAACTCGCTGTTTTGGTTTGCACATTTCTTCAGGCCCGATAAGACGACTTGAGAGAGATACAACAGTCCTTGAAACTTCGACGTTTCGAGCAAAAGCCCTTCGTTGGGACGTTTGTCGCTACTAACTTCTCGATGAAGTGCCTTCGCTCGAAACGTCGAAGTTCTCCTTGTATTTTTCAGGTAGTTGCATCCTATCCATCTGAAGCTTTCTTACCTTTACAATCACCATTGTTGGATCTTGCAAATGCTGCTCGACATCGACATTCATATTTTCCCGGTTGATGACCATCAATGCATTCCTCCATCCAGCCTCGACATGGGCTGGGATTACTACTACAGCTCTTGATAGCTACAGAGATTTAGAAAACACCATGGTGACTTGGAAAAGTGGGAATTGGGGTTTTATATAATCTTTATGAAACTCATTAATAATTCATGAAGAAAACACGAAAGAAATCATGAGCGTGAAGGAGTTTGTATATCTGACACAACACAGCCACTCATGTTGTAAATAGTAGATATTGAAAATATAAAACTTTACCGTCTCGAACACAATCTTGACCATTTTCACCAGAGTATCCTGGTTTACAAGTGCAGCGATAACTTCCTGGGGTATTTTTACATATGGCATGTCTGTGACATTCTGCTGTACTATCTTCACATTCGTTCATATCTTAACAAGAAACAAATTAATGTAATCCTCATTGATAGAGGTTAGGCCGGCTGTTTGGATAAAACAACAACAACAACAACAACAATGACGACGACAACAACAACAACAACCACGACAACAACAACAACAACAACAACAACAACAACAACGACGACGACGACGACGACGAACAACGACAACAACGACGACGACGACGACGACGATAACGACGACGAACAACGACAACAACAACAACAACAACAACAACAACAACAACAGCAACAACAACGACGACGACGACGACGACGACGACGACGACCGTCGACAACAAGTGTACCTTGACACTTCGAGTTTCTTTTAAGATATCCTTCATTGCAGACACATGAATATGTTCCCAGAGTGTTCTTACACCTGGAGTGTTCTGGACATTGTTCATGATCAGTGAGTTCGCATTCGTCTATGTCTAAACATAGAAACTGCATTATTTGGTCATTAATAAAATTCAACATACTTTATTTACACTACATACTAGTCTATGTCGTCTATCTGTTCTAAACTGTTCTCTCCATCGATATCCTCTAGGAGAGTCTTGGATAGCCTGGGTTCGTAACGACGCCTCGAAAGTGAAAATATGAAACAAAAGAAAAGTTAGGGCAACCAAGCTTCATTTCGTCTCACATACCTATGCAGCTTTTTCCATTTCCAGTGAAACCAGTTTGACAAGAACAGACGTAACCGTCTTTGCGGTCCAAACAATCGGCAAACGGATGACATTTATGGAGTTGTAACTTGCATTCATCTACGGCTTGCACTGTATGAAAATTTGCATGAAATGTTTCAAAATTTCATCGGAAGTCCAATGCTATTTAATTAAATAAAGTCCTAGAAAATCGCAGAGAACTAATTCTGTGCAAATTTTGAAAATTCAGTGTACAAAAGCCAGTCAAATGTTCATGCTTAGTACTTAATTAAGCATAATTTTTTATTGTCATTCACATATTTATTTTTACTATATCTTTCTTACATTGATAAGTAACAGCACAAGTTCATGTAATTTGAGCGGGAAACACACAGTACTCAGAAACGCTGGATCATACCAATGCTCTGGGCGATGTACGCAATGAATCAACTCGTCAATTTGATAGCCTTCAGAAAGTGAAAAAACCAGCACATATGCACTAACAGACGTACCTCTTTGCGGACAAACATCACTTTCTATGAGATCATAGATCAGTCTGTCTTTGAGACGCGCTGGCTTGTGACATTTCATTTTCATCATGTCTGATATAGTTTGTGTAAAATCTCGAAGACGAAGTTTCCTCACGAACCATTCCATATTACAGTTGCAGTTATAGGGATTGTCCGCAAGCAAACTGGAAAATTGTAAATTAATGAAACGAATTGAAGGTATATGAAAATACACAGGTAAAAAAAGCACAAACCTGCAGCAGAGTTGTAGCAATGCTGTTCCAACAACTAATCAACAGGATGTGTTCGCATTGCCTGTTCCCAGCTTGTTGGCAAGTTGTCATCGGTTTGTTGACAACTTGCTACAAGGTTATTGAGCTCAACAAATTTGTTAGAAGTTGTTCCAACAACTTGTTATCGTCCTACAATTCAACAATTTGCCAACAAGTTGTGAGTAACAACCTTGTAGCAACTTGATAAAATAACAGCATTGTTACAACTTGCTTGATACAAGGATGTTGCGAACACATCTTGCTGACAAGTTGTGAGAATTTTACGTGTGTAGTTCACGAGACTTCACGAATTCAGTTTTGTTACTTACATTGCTTTATTGGGTGTTTCGAATATATCTTTCGGTACATTTTCAAGTTTAAAGCCACTACAAGTTGTTAAACTGTTGTCTGATACTGTATAATGACAATCTCTCCATGAGAATTCTCTACCTTCAACTCCTAACCACAAGTTAAACATACGAAAATAAGTTGAATAGAAACAAAAAACATTGCCACAACAAGAACAACAAGAACAAGAACAACAACAAGAACAACAACAACAACAACAACAACAACAACAACAACAACAACAACAACAACAACAACAACAACAACAACAACAACAACAACAACAACAACAACAACAGCAACAAAAAGACGTACAAAACGTCAATCAAACACACGTCAATGAAATCTAACCTGTTATAATTAAATGAGTAGATACCAGGAAAAGATAAAGAAACCACATTCTATACAGACATTTTGTTTTTGACGCACGTGAAATTTGATTGTATTACGTCAGTGTAATTAAACTTCATTCAGGAAATGCGGCATGCGCGCAATATGTTAATTAATTTAGCGCATGAGTAAATGGCGTATACATATATGTAAACCGAGCAGCTTTACGTTTGACAACGTTGTTGTTTCAAGTGTGATATCGTCTTCGTATGACAAGTTGTAAAATGATTCTGATTGTATTTCTTTTTGATTAACCGTAGCAACTTGTTATCTAGAGACGATCTGAGACTTTGGCCGATGTTATTGGAAACAAGTTTGTAAGTTGTAACAACTCAAGCTTGACTTTAACTAGAATACTAATAATATAGCCAATATATTTATATTTATATTTATATGCATGTGCACTTGTTACATATTGAATATCAAACATGAACGCATTTATTTGATAAAAAGTTTAAGAATATAAAAGTCATATTCCAGAACGTTATTCGAGAACTGCTATAAAACGTGAACAGTTCTAATGTTGTGAATCTGATTCCTCATACCACCAACCCAACTCAATCAGACCTTCTAGTAAGGACCATCAGGTGGTCCCAACATCACCCCCACTACAGTGACAACCCCAGGGTGGACTACCTTCACACTCATAGTATGATCCCCGGGATTCACCCTCAAAGATACGATTTCTAATAAAGTCTGTGAGTACTGACTCTCTGCTCGAACATGCCGTCTGTTTACAACATCATCGTCGAGCCACACTTCCGCAACTCCGCATTTCCAACATGTCCGCGTCGCAAAAACCACGGAGCGGCTTTGGATCCTCCGGTTATGACCCAGCGGCGGGACTGTGAATGAGAGTGTCAAGCTGGCGCCGACATCACGTCCCGTCCATCCGCTGTACGCATCTGCGCGGCATGCGTTTTCCGTAAAACAATGTCCGCCGCCTATTGCTTTGTCATGTACAAAATCAAAGCCGTAATTTTCCATAACGCCAACTTCCATACTATTCGTTATAATTTTCTTTTTAAAATTCGGAGTCAATGTTGTCCAACATACAGGGTCGGTAATGACCTTGCTTTGTTCGGCTATAAACACGGGTTTCGGTAAAACCACTTCATCGTGGAAAACCTGCTCGTATAGTTCATCCACGTGACCTATATTATCCAATAGGAGATCACGAAATAGATTGATGACCATAAGAGAGATATGCGCATGACCAAGTTGGTTGATATGGTGACCGTCTTTACAGACGACGGCGCAGCTTTTTAGAGGGATACGATATTTCCCATCTATCACAGGGCAAACGGCATCACGCCAATTGAAAGTAGTAATTTCGTACATGTTAGACAGCAACTGCTGGCCAAAATCCTCAAGGTTCGTACATCCTTGGTAATAGGAACGACCGCTGAGCAAGTTGACGTAGAGCAACGCGGGCTCAGTTGGGTATTCGAGAAGTTGCCGCGTGAGCTGTTCGATGGGTAAGCTCAAATTAACGTGATATGGCAACTCGTGAAGGTCGTTCACTGACATCTCAAGCAAAACTAAATCAACGTCTTTCTGAACGAAGGAACGGTGGCAGTATTGAAAGAAATCACTAGACGTGCCACCTATGGCAATCTGCCGCGTTTTGAGATGTGAGCCAGTGATGGGGGTGATAGTTTTTTGCCACCAGTCGAGAATAACTCGAAAAAACAACCCGTCTGTTCGTCCCTCGTCCTTTTGTATGCCTCCTCCGGCGGTGTTTGAGCCGCCTATGACGGCCAAGTGAATATTTTCGCCTCGAAAAGCTTTAAAAAGTTTATGTCTCAGTCTTGTGTTCCACTTGTTCTTCACAACATCATGGAGCAATGCTTCGTGGACACCGAGGTCCTCCATTGAGTTGAAACGATCTTTGAATTTCCATGTACTAAAAGGATGGACAAGCAAAGCTTCGCGAAGTGAAACAAGCTCCGTTTCATTAAGAAACTTCGAGACACTTTCTTCATCGCTATTTTTGTGATGATCTTTTCCCTTATCAGATTTGTCACTAGCTTTTTTTGTTGTCTTTGTTTTATCACCAACTTTATCATGCATCTTTTTGTTTGAAGCAGAGACAGTTTGTTCATCCTTATTTTTGCTGCTATCAGATTTGTCACTAGCTTTGCTCTGTGTTGTCTTCGTTTTATCACCAACTTTATCATGCATCTTTTTGTTTGAAGCAGAGGCAGTTTGCTCATCCTTATTTTTGCTGCTATCAGATTTGTCACTAGCTTTGCTCTGTGTTGTCTTCGTTTTATCACCAACTTTATCATGCATCTTTTTGTTTGAAGCAGAGGCAGTTTGCTCATCCTTATTTTTGCTGCTATCAGATTTGTCACTAGCTTTGCTCTGCGTTGTCTTCGTTTTATCACCAACTTTATCATGCATCTTTTTGTTTGAAGCAGAGGCAGTTTGCTCATCCTTATTTTTGCTGCTATCAGATTTGTCACTAGCTTTGCTCTGTGTTGTCTTCGTTTTATCACCAACTTTATCATGAAAGTTTTTGTTTGAAGTAGAGGCAGTTTGCTCATCCCGATTTTTGCTGCTGTCTTTTTTCTTATCAGATTTACCTTTGCTTTTTGTTGCGCTGTTTTTATCGATATAACTGCCATGTAACTTTTTATCTTTCTTCAATTTTTCCTTAACCTTACTAAGTAACTTCTCAAAAATATCGTCCCATTCCCGTGTACGTGATTTGTGCGAATCTTTTCGTGTTTCCGTGTGATGCTTGCGTTTAGTTTTATGAGTTCGTTTCTTCCTTTCGACAGCAGTCTCTTTATCATGTTGTCCAACTAAAGAGTTGACCATCTCCTTGTGACTTTCATCTCTGACCAGTAATTCCCTAGTTTCTGGCCCATACCTTTTACTTCTTAATCCATCATTTAAACTTGCAATATCATTAGCTTCACCGCCTTCTTTTCTGGGAGTTATTTGGGTTTGTTCTGCTACAATATCATGGATTTGTAAAGCGGTATAGCCAAGGACAAGGTTGCACACAACAATTGTAAATAGTACTACGTCCAAACCATTCGTCCGCATTCTAAGTCACATCATAATACCATTCTTTGCCATGTTAAAATCTATTCAGCTGGAAAGAAAGTGAAAAGAAACCAGTTAGATCATTACCTATCGCATATTTACACTGATAAAGGTTGGTTTGTGCATTCTGGCGTATCTAGTGTGATCTTCATAAGCAAATTATAGGTTTTTACAATTTAACATGTCTAACATATACGCGTAATATAAATATAATAATTCGCGTAATTAATAGTATGATTATAGTGTCAAATATATTTGTTGTAGAAGAAGACCATAGGACAGTCATTTTGTCACAAGACAGACAATAGCTCCGTGTGCAGATGGACAATTTTTCTTGACTGAAGTTTTATTTGCTCGTGTGTACAACAAAAATTGACATTGAATTTCCCCTTGCCAAGGAGCCTTAATTTTTTATTCGAAAGCTAGACATGCCAGCTTTTGGACAAAAAAATGTGTTTGTCTGTACGGCCGCCCAAAAATCTTGACAAGTGTACAAAAAATACTTCTATGGTTTTGGCAAACAAAAGACGGCATTGACGTGAGATAAATGACAATTCCGTACACACGCGAGCAAGAAAACTTGTCACAAGGGGAATTTGTCGAGAAAACTTGCAAGTCTGAACAAGGTCTTAATCGGTTTTATCAAAATATATTTTATCACGCTTACCTTCCATCCGGTAAGCCATTTCGTTCCAGGCAGGAGTTGTATGGCCAACATTTTGACAAATATCTTCTCCTTGTTGGGAAACTAAGGAAGTTTAACTATAACAACGCGTGACCGACAGGTGCCATATTAATAGAGATCACGAAGCGTGTAATAATATCTACTACACCAAACATTATCCGATTAACAAGTATGATATGCCTGTGGCAACAGATTAAAAATTATAAAAGATAATCCATGACTTTGACTTTGTTGTGGAATGATCGGGTACATTGAAACTATGCCTAGAATGTTTTGTTTTTTAGGGTCACCACACTGTGGACAAGCTGGGAAGGAGTTTGATCACGGTGGGAATCGAACTCACGACCTTTGGGTTACTGGTCCATACCAACTGAGCTCAAGTCCGTTCGAGTTGGCAATATTTTAGAACTTATCAACTTATAATCTAGTTCCTTTCACATCTGTGTATAAAATCTTGTGATCCATAGCGTCTGGTGGCGGTTGTGTCCGTCTTGAACTCAGTGTTTGATTTAAAAACCCCTGAGTTCTGAGTTCAACTCCACGATTTTATTTTTGAGATTTTTGGCCATTTCCACTCAGGGAAGTTTTCCGTAAAAAGAAAATTTTGTAAAATGTGATTGGCCGATACAAATTTTTTTTAACAATGTCAATGATATTTTCGGAAAATTTTCTGTCCTTGGAAATTTTTCTTGAGTGGAAATGAGCCTTTAGACCTGACCAGGACTTGTGAAAAATGCAACAACAAAACCTCTGGCAGGAATCAAACCTAGAATATTGGCTTCATACTAGGGACATACCATCAGAAAATTGCATATATGTATTTATGTAAACCCAGATGAACTAGCTAACATAGCGCAATATATACAACATGTGATGACAAAAGTTCTGAAAACACCCATGTGTTTCCTGGCTTGTGTCACAAACCCTAAACAGCGCAGGCAACCTTTCAGTCCCGAGGTATCATTTGTCTTCAGTCAAAATAGGATGGGAATTAACTAGGAACTTATGTTGTCCTGACTACCAGCCTTAGGATTGTAAAGTAAATAAATAAATAGAAATTTTTTGTTGCGTGTGAAAATGTTTTAACTCTGTCAGTGCCTCGATCAGAGATGTTTCAGCGATGAGTGATTCACCATACATTAGTGTAATCTTGCTTATGTGTTTTCCTTGAGCCTGAGATCCGTTGAATAAGAAAAAACCCACTGCATCAAACATCTCGCGATCCACTCAATCCATGTATTTCATAGTAACACAAAAAGCAATTTCAGTAAAACCTTTCTCCACGGATTTTTTTGCAAAAGTCCTGGCTAGTTTTAAGGAGGGCATCGGCCACAATGGGCGACTTATACAAGTGTATGAAAGATTTGCTCGTAGTCGTATCAACAGTTCCTAAGAGAGATTAGCGAATAATAAGTTAATTGTCAAGCTTTTAAAAATATTTTGTGAATTCACAAGAATAACACATGTGATACTTGACAACATGCCTCAGAATAAATAAAAAGCCATGAAATAGGTATTTAATAAACACAGCGCTAGTATCTCCCGGCTAGGTACTCAGGCAGTAAGCCATTTTAATATCTTGTACTGTCAATAGGACAACTTCACCATAACAACAAATTAAACTATAGTTCAATAATAAGCACTTGGCGCAGTACATGTACGCTTTGCGTACCTACTTTTTCAATCGAACTGTTATTGAGTTTCTTACTCATTGGTGAGCGGATTTCCCAACAGGCTATTGATCCTTATCCGAGAAGACGCGAATGTCTAACTATTTACTAATGTCAATGTAAAGGCAGCTCTTTCTTCTCAATTATTTTAAGAGCTTGAGTAGAGGTCCGACCAACGATTTAACCCAGGTCTCCCAGCTTTAAAGACAAGCGTGATGATTAAAAGTATATCTGTACATTTGAGTGAAACTCTGATATACAGATAAGAATACAGACTGCTAATTACGATGGGAATATTCTCAGCTGGAAACATGAATAAATAAAACAAGCAACCCAAACACCTTTTCCTTACAATGCTGAACAGCGGGCCTGACAATTCCAACCAAAATCCTGGCTAATCAATCGAAATCCTATTACGAACTTACTCCCCTAAATAAACACCTTTCACTCAAAACTTGCAAGTCAATTTGCTACGACATTTTATAAAAAAAACAAACGTTCCAGCATATATATTATTCAGAAATGTAAATGCATTGAAATAAGTGTGTTTAAGAAATGCAAATTTCAATTCGGTTGATTTATCATTTCGCCGTAGCTAATAATTTTGGCCATTAGCTTACGGTAAATGTTCGTTTTTAATGAAATCCCGTGTATCCCCCGGCCCCAATTTATTTTAAGCATTCTATAAAACAAATTCCTAGGCTCACTGTACAAGTATATTATAGATTGTTGAAATGATATTGGAAACAAACGAGAATGTGTCACATTCTAATGTAAATTCAAAACCAGTTGTTTCATCCGCCGAAACACGACTGAGGGAAATGTATATGTTGCTGATGAAATACATTATTTCAAAACGAATTTACAGTTACAGGAAACCGTTTTCGCAAGATACTAGCGGACATTCGCATGAAAAAGAGCGTTGTATATGGCGTTTCGTGATTCGAAAACATTATTGATAATAATGAGACACTTTCAAACAAAGAACAATGATGCTTGCAAGGCATTTATGACGTCATTTATTAAAGTACATGTTCGTTTGTTTTGTATATTGCCGGGTGCTTCACGAAAGAGCGATCGAGGATTGAGATTGTTCTGTTGATTTTAATGATGGGTTATGCTGTGCAAAGGTTTGTAAGTTACATAGATCCGAATTTAATCTGTGGCATTTGTGCAAACGTTTTACAAGACGCTGTTATAACGCCGTGCGGTCATAGTTTTTGTCAACAGTGTTTAGAAACGTGGCTGGATAGCTCAGAAACGGATACTTGTCCAACTTGTCGTGCGACAACGCTAGTTTTTGACCTTATTCCTGTGTTGGCCATTCGCGGAATAGTTGGAAACCTTCACACGAGTTGCGACAACGTCGAAAATGGTTGTAAAATGGTCATGAGATTGGAGAGCGTCGCGAGTCATTCGCGTGAATGCGAATTCGCGTTAGTGAAATGTCACGGTTGTGGCGAACAAGTAAAAAGGTTCCAAGTGCCCGAACATCACGAGAACTGTAAAAGTGTCAAGAATCTGGCGAAAGGGGACAAGAAATCGCGGATTTCTATGGTGGAAGAACTCACAAAGACCGTGGCGTCGTTGGAAGCGGATTTAAAGCGGACAAAAAAGGCATTAAAAATCTCTCAAGATGAAGTTCGAACTGTTGAACGGGAGTTACGTGAAATGAGAAATGAATTCAACTTACGAGAGGGCGAACAGGGTGCGTTTGATTCGGACTGGGACCCAGATTATAATTACGGCTACTCTCCTCAGAGTATATCATTATTAGCTCGATTAATCTCAAGGCATTTGCTAGAAAAGCCGTTTTATGTTGATAGAAATCGTATCTTCACTGCTACGAAACGTTGCTATGATTTTTACTATAACTACCCAGGTTATACACAAGACGTGCATATGCTGGTAGCGACTTGTTTTGCGTCCAATTGGTTTAGCGAACAACAGAGGAAACATTTTGATCGCTGGCTGGGGAATGTCGTGAGACCTCGATGCGAACGTTGAAGTGGATGATAATTCCACATTATCAAAACAGAAGCTAATATCGTTTTAAGTGGGCAGAAATCACGGCGTTTCTTTGTCTCATCGCACCGGAAAGATATAAATTACTTGTTAATAGCCATTGTTATGGTAATTTAGTTTCAGCGAATTAACATCTATATCAAATTGGGATATGACAAGCTACAAATAAATTTAATTGTATATATAACTCGTAGTCATACATAGCATGAATTATACAACTTTAGATTTCTTCTGTACACTGTCTCTAATTATTCATAATTGCGCGAAGCAACACAATATTCTTGACACTGACTGATGTTGTTCCAGAGTTCACTCGACCCAGTCTTTCGCGCGATCTATATTGTTGCCATCTTGCGACGGTCTATTGGTTTGGATAATAATCTCGAACTGTTTGTGTCAGCGTTGTGACGATAACGAAACAGCTGCAGATTAAAGAAGATACAACTCTGACCTGAAAAATACAGGCAGGACTTCGAAGCCTAGTAGCCTACAACAAAGGGTCTTGTACCTGCCCTCGAAAAGTCGATGTTCTGCACATATTTCTGAAAGTATCGGTTTAGATGTCTGTCTATCTATCTCGAGGGCCGCAAATTCGGTTAGGTCTAATAAATGCATACTATTGACTCAAACTCGAAATTTCCAACTACAAACCCTCCAACAAAACGTATGACCATGCAATATAGCGCAAATTTATGCTTTTGGAACTCCAACAAAACTCTGTTTTCAAATGCCAGAACTCCCTTTTCAAATGCCAGAGCTTCGTTTCCAAATGCCAAAACTCTTTTTTCAAAAGCCAGAACTCGCCTTTCAAATGCCAGAATCCCGTTTTCAAATGCCAGAACTCCGTTTTCAAATGCCAAAACTCTGTTTTCAAATGCCAGAACTGCCTTTTCAAAAGCCAGCCTCCCTTAATTTTCAAATGCCAGAACTTCGTTTTCAAATGCCAGAACTCCTTTTTCAAAAACCAGAACTCGAGCTTTTTCAAATGCCAGAACTCCCTTTTCAAATGCCAGAACTCCGTTTTCAAATGCCAAAACTCTGTTTTGAAATGCCAGAACTCCCTTTTCAAATACCAGAACTCCCTTTTCAAATACCAGAACTCCCTTTTCAAATGCCAGAACTCCGTTTTCAAATGCCAAAACTCTGTTTTGAAATGCCAGAACTCCCTTTTCAAATACCAGAACTCCCTTTTCAAATACCATAACTCCCTTTTCAAATGCCAGAGCTCCGTTTTCAAATGCCAGAACTCCTTTTTCAAAAACCAGAACTCGAGCTTTTTCAAATACCAGAACTCCCTTTTCAAATGCCAGAACTCCGTTTTCAAATGCCAAAACTCTGTTTTGAAATGCCAGAACTCCGTTTTCAAATGCCAAAACTCTGTTTTGAAATGCCAGAACTCCCTTTTCAAATACCAGAACTCCCTTTTCAAATACCAGAACTCCCTTTTCAAATACCAGAACTCCCTTTTCAAATGCCAGAGCTCCGTTTTCAAATGCCAGAACTCCTTTTTCAAAAACCAGAACTCGAGCTTTTTCAAATACCAGAACTCCCTTTTCAAATGCCAGAACTCCGTTTTCAAATGCCAAAACTCTGTTTTGAAATGCCAGAACTCCGTTTTCAAATGCCAAAACTCTGTTTTGAAATGCCAGAACTCCCTTTTCAAATACCAGAACTCCCTTTTCAAATACCAGAACTCCCTTTTCAAATGCCAGAGCTCCGTTTTCAAATGCCAGAACTCCTTTTTCAAAAACCAGAACTCGAGCTTTTTCAAATACCAGAACTCCCTTTTCAAATGCCAGAACTCCGTTTTCAAATGCCAAAACTCTGTTTTGAAATGCCAGAACTCTTTTCAAATACAAGAACTCTGTTTTCAAATGCCAGAGATCCGTTTTCAAATACCAGAACTCCCTTTTCAAATACCAGAACTCCCTTTTCAAATACAAGAACTCTGTTTTCAAATGCCAGAGATCCGTTTTCAAATACCAGAACTCCCTTTTCAAATACCAGAACTCCGTTTTCAAATGCCAGAGCTCCGTTTTCAAATGCCAGAGCTCCGTTTTCAAATGCCCAAACTCCGTTTTCAAATGCGAGAACTCCGTTTTTGCAAGCCATAAATTTGACCATGCTCACACATATATGTGTGTATATTGTGGGGAAACGGTATACTTATGCCATTTATAATTGGTTTAATTTCTTGCACCTGATTGGCTAATATCGAATTAGCAAACCAAAAATAAAGAAACCGAGAAATCGAGCCGCCATTTTTTGCGTTTGGCAGTCGGCGTGCAAATCGGGTGACAACATGGCGAACTTACGTGGCCTTTAAAAATGAACAAAGTTGTGTAGATTATTCACTGTTATTTACTCAAGGACAGATAAACTCAAAGGCGTAGGATAGTTTTATACCTAGTGCACCTATAGCAGTTATTTATTCTGCGATCTAAACATGGTTTTGGCAGATTTGGGTCGTAAGATTACCGAAGCATTGCGGTCTTTGAGTAATGCAACAATAATAAATGAGGAGGTAGAGGGTTATATTTGTATATTATGCATGATATCAGGTATATTCACTGTGTAATAATGATAGATTATATACTTTATGTCCGTGAATATTTATTTGTAAAAAACCCCATGCATTTTGATGTTAATTATTAACTGATCAATATAGAAAATAGCAAATCAGTTACTGTGTTCTGTGGATTTAAACAAATTATAAAACATTGGCCTGGTTTGATGGTTGTAAGATCATCCTGATTCCTGATAGATAATCCATCTTTGGTACAAATCAGGCCAATGTTTTTTTTACACAGACACAGTATAAAAGTTTGCCTGATCACTTGTCTGTGTATATTAAATAACACTGTATCTAGATGCCCGGCAGTCATTAGTATTCATAATAAAAATAGCTCATATATTATTTTAGCAGTATAAAAAGGTTATTTTGCAATGAATTTCAGTGAGCTTGTTTAATAGTAGCTCAGCGGTTAAACCGTGTGACTGAAACGTTCTGGGGGTGGGATCGATTCCCTTCAAGTCGTCGTGTTCAAGTTCGTTTTAGAATTGTTCTTTAGAAGTTTTAAATTTTTTTTCCTGACCAGTTTTAACTTTCCTCAACCTTCAAAGGTTAGCAGTTAGGGCTGGGGTTATGATATCAAATATTATTCATACTGATTCATTTTAGGTTTTAAATTCCTTATTGAAAGAAGTATGCAAAGCGTTGCTTGAAGCAGACGTCAATGTTCAGTTAGTGAAAAAATTACGAGAAAATGTCAAGTAGGTCAAAGTATATTGATGTATGTGATATGGAATGCTGCAATTCTAGTCACAAAATAATGCGGCCATTTCCATAGTTGTTTGTCATTTTGATACATCCTACTTCTAGAGCTGTTTTCACAGCAAATATCACAAAGCAATTGCCATCTTTTAACAACTCTTTAACTTTGAAAAGAAATTCTACACTCGCACGATATAGTACCATTGTTCAGGAGCCAATTATGTTTTATAATAATAAACTGCGAAAGATTGCAAGCAGCATAATAACATTTTGTTGACTACTTTAGATCAGCAATAGATTTTGAAGACATGGCTGCTGGCCTTAACAAGCGAAGGATGATACAACATGCTGTTTTCCAAGAACTTTGTAAAGTAAGTTTAATGAGCTTGACAATGTTTGTCAAGAGTGTTTGACAGGTTTATTTATATTTCCATGCAAATAATGGTAGAATTTATAAACATGAGATAATAAAGTATATTTTCTTACCTAGCTTGTAGATCCAGGAGTAAAGACGTGGCAGCCGCAGAAAGGAAAACCAAATGTCATTATGTTTGTTGGCTTGCAAGGAAGTGGCAAAACTACAACATGTACAAAGGTGAGTATTAAGTTTTTTAGCACCAGAAATTGTGGATTGAGAAGGTTTGGACTACCTGAAATATACAAGTAAAACTTCAACGTTTTGAGAGAAGACCCTTTCATTGGGAAGTTACTTCACCTACTAAATTCCAGATGAAGGGCTGTTGCTCAAAGCGTTAAACTTTTGCTTGTATTTGTCAGGTAGTTGAATCCCTCTTTTCAAATATTAATGTTACATTGAGAGTATATCGCTGTATTTTCACAGTTAGCTTATTACTATCAAAGAAAAGGATGGAAGACATGTTTAACTTGCGCAGATACATTTCGAGCAGGTAACAGTTCTCATATTTTTGTCAAATAACAGCTAAGGTTTCTCTCATGTAACATATGGGTTATTACAGCTCCTGGAACATAATTTTGTAATAATCTTTTCATTTTAGTTTCAAATTAATTGTTATTTTTTGACACTTTTTCATTTTGTACTTATCCTAAATATTTGTTCTTACAAAACAGGGGCATTTGATCAGCTGAAGCAGAATGCCACAAAAGCTAGGATTCCTTTCTATGGAAGGTAGTTTTAAAACTAAGTAAAAATTAATATTATATCAAGAGTCCCATTATAGTGTTGTAAAATGGTCTTGTGCAGTACAGTATATTGTGACATACTCTACTAAAGCTTATAGTACATTGTAGCTACATTGATTAAAGAAAATAATTTGATTGATTTGTAGTTATACTGAAATGGACCCTGTCATCATTGCTCAGGATGGAGTGGAAAAATTTAAATCTGAAAAATTTGAAATTATTATTGTTGATACAAGGTAGCATTCTAGTATTATGTTGTAAGTCAATTCTAACGCTTTGATATCACAGTATAATACAGTTTGTTGAACTGATTTCTGGTTGCATTCCAGTGGTCGTCACAAGCAAGAAGAATCATTATTTGAAGAAATGTTGCAAGTCTCTAACGCAGTAGTAAGTTTAAAGATCAACACAGAAATTGGTACACGTAAATTGTCTTGATACATGGTGGAGTTTAAACAACATTCATAAAAGTAACTTTTAATTTATTTCTACATTACAGGATCCTGACAATATTATTTTTGTCATGGATGCTACCATTGGGCAAGCTTGTGAATCCCAGGTAAATCCTTGCAGGAAATAGTGGTGGATGCTGGCATCTAGGATCCCTGAAAATTCTCAGAACTGGCAGAACATTTGCAACACTAACAGTGCTGAGAAAATAGTTTATTTGGAAGACTACTAGTGAGCTTGGCAGAAAACTTTGACCCCAAAAATGATTAAGATCCCAGAGACAAAAATATCATTTCCTGCTATGATCCTTAAGACCAAGGTTTTGCAACTTATTCTTTTGCTGCAATGAAGGTGAAACTATGCTTTTGTTTTTTGTCTCCAGGCCAGAGCTTTCAAGGAGAAAGTTGACGTTGCTTCAGTGATTGTAACCAAGTTAGATGGTCATGCAAAAGGTGGTGGCGCATTGAGTGCGTAAGTCATCCAAATGATGTTTCTCTTAATTCACTTGAAGGAAGATCAACACTAAATCTTTATAGACTTTAATCTTTTTTCATTCTCCAATCAATGTAGAGTTGCAGCAACAAAGAGTCCGATCATATTCATTGGGACAGGCGAACATATTGATGACTTTGAACCATTCAAGACGCGACCATTCATCAGCAAATTATTAGGTCTTTTAACTTTATTATTATTAGCGCAGTTTTAAGACTAGATGGTTTACAATTGAAAAAAATATAACCAAACTGATGTCATTCTTAGCTTCTCACTTCTTCCTAAGTAAAAACTAAAGCCTTGTTGACACTATCAGTTTCTGTGATCACAGTAGGAATTTTGCATTCGTAGATTCTAAGTTTTGAAGGATTTGTAAGAAATGTTTAACACTCGGTATTTAACACTAAATATAAGTTTCCTCAAACATTTCTTACAAATCCTTCAAAACTTAGAAGTACCTATGCAAAATTCCTACTGTGATCACAGAAACTTTGATAGTGTAAACCAGTCGTAAGTATAATATCGATAACTCAAGTAAGTAAAAATCTCCAAAAAAATTGAACATGCTTTGCCGTCTTTACCAGGAATGGGTGATATCGAAGGCTTGATTGATAAAGTGAATGAACTGAAATTGGAAGAGAACGAAGAACTTATTGGAAAATTAAAACATGGTAAGTTTATAGTATCTCAAAACAGAAGGCACGGAGAACAGTGGAATTCTCAAAACAACGAAAAAAGAATGGAACATTTCAATCACTGGATCGTGATTCGATGGTAGTTAAATGTTTATGCTTAGTGTTGAAATTGTTATTGATTTTATTAGGGCAGTTTACGTTAAGAGATATGTACGAACAGTTTCAAAATATAATGAAAATGGGACCTTTTAATCAGATTATGGTGAGTGGTTTATAGTCTGTTTTGTGTTTTAGAAATGCATTCCCGTATTTCTTATAATTGGCGAATAATTGCAACATTGCGAGCAAGTATATTCCACGTGGTTTGCGAGCTAGAAAAATTGCATCACGTCTATATATATGTTGTAAATTTGTTGAATTTAGATAAAATGTTGAAACGACTGTCTAGCGATGTTTTATCCCATATATAGGGCATGATACCCGGCTTTGGTAGCGATTTCATGACGAAAGGAAACGAACAAGAATCTATGGCGAGACTTAAGAAACTTATGACAATAATGGACAGTATGAATGACCAAGGTAAAAGTAATATTCACGACGCCAGTTGAAGCCATGGATAATTACAGTAAAACACTTTCTTATCTATCTATCTATGTGTTAACCAACACAGGTTATATAGTTCATTTTCGGTCCCACATTTTGAACTATACGCTTCCCATTTTCGGAGACAAAATTATTATATTTCTTTCTAAAATTCCTTCAGCTAGAATACCTGGTAATTTTGCTAGTATATAGTTGCATAAAATCTAGTCTAGTATACGGTTTAAGTATTGTCGTTAACGTCACCATTTTAAAGTATTGTCGTACTTTTGTACTCGTGAGTCATCTTTCCACAAAAAAAACACTGCAGCAAAATCTTGCCAAAAAGGTCAAAAATACCGAACAAGTTTCGCTATATTCAAGTAATTATTTATAAATTCTATATTACCCACCTTTCTTTATCTCACGAGCCAATTTTTACATAGGAAACAGTATTATTTTAATAGTTTATCTTGATATTTTTCTTCATTGTAGAACTGGATAGTTTGCAAGGCTCCAAATTGTTTTCGCGGGAAAGAGGACGGGTGGCGCGCGTGGCTCGGGGGTCTGGGACCTCAGTTCGCGAAGTTGATGAACTGTTATCGCAGTACAATAAATTTGCCGCCATGGTCAAAAAAATGGGCGGAATTAAAGGATTATTTAAAGGTCTGTTGCATACTATAAAAATAGCTTTCTATACAGAACAAACATTTCTTACAAATCCTTCAAAACGTAGAATTTATCTATGCAAAATTCCTACTGTGATCACAGAAAAAAAAAAAAAAAAAAATTAAGGATAGGATGAAACAAAGGTAGCCAAGCATTCACACTACTTAAAAACTCATTAATAATTCAGGAGCAAAACACAAAGAAAAATCATAAGCGTGTCGTGGTTTTATATGTGATAAAAAATCATGTTAATTTCCATAAACTTTAGCTTTGATTTTCTCGGTTTAGACAAAGTTTATTTTATAAATTACTTCGCCAATGATCTCGTATAAAATGAGTCGTTTTTTAAGCCATTTAAAGCACTTGTAGTCGTGTTTTATCACATATAAAACACTCCGCCACGCGTCGTGTTTTATATGTCATAAAACACTCCTACGCGTGCTTTAAATAGTACATAAAATGCTGCAATTGGAGAATTAATGTTACAGTAGATATTGTAAATGCAATGTGGTAATAAATATTATGCTGTGTTTAGGCGGTGATATGTCTAGAAATATGAACCCATCTCAGTTCCAAAGACTTAACCAACAAATGGCAAGGATGATGGATCCCCGAGTACTGCAACAAATGGGTAAGTACCAGCCCGTACCCAATTTCACAAATTTATAAGAACTACGTACAGTAGTAGTACACCTGTTACTATTTGGTCTTTTTCATACAACCATTTTACAAATATGTTTTGTTTCCAGGTGGTATGCAGGGTTTACAAAGCATGATGAGACAATTCCAAGGAGCTGGAGGCATGCCTGGCGGTGGCGGACATAATTAGAACTGGGTTGTGAGCATAATTTGACGTATAAACTGTTTAGATGGGTTGTCACTTGAGCTATCCCTGTCTTATTGGTGTCATGTCGAGTATCATCCTCAACATTGCGTATATAGTTTCGTAATATTCTGTCGAAAAAACTGGCAATTTTTCTGAGCCTCTTCGCCATGATGTATTATTACATCGTGTATCGTTTTAAAACAACTCGTTCAGTGGCTGGGGAAGATTGTTCAGACACATCTAGTCTATACCTTACTACTAGACTAATTTATCAGTGACAAGGCTTCCTTCCTTGTGCAAAAACTATTCGCGCTAGTCTTTTGAACAAGGATGTGGTACACACAAATTAAACACACAACATCTGGTACTTTGTACATTAGAATTAAGGTAAAATATTTTATAAATATGTACACACAGAATGTAAAACTTATTAATAAATAAAGCATTTCTCCTATGCTGTGTCACTCAACAGATGGTTGTCACTCAACGTATAGATACCTTCGTTGAAGAGAGTAGAAATTCACTCTTTCGTATTTGGAACATGACTCAGTATATGCTCTGTTGCAGCTTGAATAACCTGCGAGAAAAAATGCATTTTTGGAAAAATATTCACGTTGTAGGTGTTCCTATACTAGACTCTAGGAAGAACGGTTTAGGGCTTGTATAGAGCTATACAGTATAAAGTTTTTAGGTTCCCTCTTGTAGTAACATTGGACCAGTCATGGTATCCTCTAGTGAGAACAGTTTGGAACCGATGGAGCTTTCCAGTATAACTATCCTGTTTTAAAGCATCAGTAGTTTCACCAATTTCCAATAACGTTCAGTAAGATAAATGAATCATTGGCAATTTCAAAAACTTACATCTAGTTGTTTTCCCCGCGGAAATTTATGAACGCATTCATCCCAGAAACAACTTTTAAAATCAACAGTTTGATTGATGTGGTCTGAAAAAAAATGATCAAATATATATTTCTAACCATGGTGAAATATTTCCTGCTTTGATTTGCTGGTGAAAAATCCAAACAAACAAAACGAAACCTACGAAATAACCAACTACCTTGCACGTGTTGTATTAAATGGTCCAACAGACCAAACTTTAAAGAACAATCACCCCACTGCAAAAATAAGAAAACAAATTTATTGATCAAGTATGCCTCGGTTACCAAGAGCAAAAGATTAACATACTTTACAACAATGGTATTTTCGTAGATCTAATTTGATTCCCGATACGCGACCATCACGGCATCCAGTGTAGATCTAAAGTAGAGATTTATGTTAATGTCCTGTCTTCATTCAAAATATTTATAGTTACATATTTGGTAAACTAAAACGTATCAGGATTCTGGGCATCTACACTCGACAGAACTATTTGTTGAAGGCTTTTGTAGATGGGAATTTCGAATGGAATTTTTATACATTTCTTATACCTAACCAGGAACACTGGAACAGTTGTGAAAAAAGCAACTGTAGAGTCCTGCCAGACGGTTTATAGTTGTATTTTTGACTCACGGATATCGCGAAGCAACATCTGTGAGTCTTTGTGGGTACTTGAGTGTGGGTGCTCGTTCGCAAAAAACAACTGCAAACTACTGTCACTTTCATTTGATCTCATCCATGAGTCGGCCTCAACGGCCTTTGATTCGCAACTGCTCCTGGTATAAGGTCTAATATAAATGTATATAATATAACATTTGTAAATTCTGAACGCTGATTGGCTAAGAGCCGTGTTGATATAACTCGATGTCAACACGGGAAATTTTCCGCCGCTTGTAAACACGGAAATTTTTCTTATCCTTCGGGCTTTTGACATTGCTATGTATTATAAAAAAATATAAAACATTTTTTCCGTATTGATATATAGTTATATCAACACTCGTGGAAGTTGGAAAAACTGGAAATTGTATGAAAACGTCGTGTTTCTATACAATTTCTCGTTTTCCCAATTCCTACTCGTGTTGATATAGCTGTATATCAACACGGAAAATGTTTTATATTTTTTTTATAAAAATTCACACTCGGAATTTCCATCTACAAAATCCAGTTTAGAATCCTTTCTACAAACCAAAACTTACCATGTTTCCAATGACGGATAATGAAAATATCATGTCTGTGTTTCCACCGTACAACTGTAGCAAGTCACCAGTCTAAAAATACCATCGTGAATAACATTTCAATATGGTGGCACAAGTGGTTTATTCACGTCCCAGTAAGGTGCTGATTACATGGTGCCGAGTTGGCCCGGTTAACCGGGCTGACTCGTTTGTTTAGGACCTTACTGTGGTTTTAAAACTCGCGTAAAATAAATTTGCGATAAATACTTGGTTTAGTATAGATGCAAAATCATCCTAAACCCGATTTAAAACTCATTTTGCGGCCCAAGGAAGATTTTCGTGACATTTTTCAGCCCGGTTAACCGGGCTGGCCCGGTCCATGTAATCAGCCCCTAATTTTGCATAGGTAAATTCTAAGTTTTTAAGGATTTGCAAGAAATGTTTTGAGGGAATGTATTGACTTAGTATAAACTTTGATAGTAATTTTATAAAGTTATAAACCAGTCTTCATGCGCTCTCATCGACTTTGATTTGGTTCAAATTTTGACGACAGTTGAGGAGTTTTTACTGTTTGACCAATAATATCCTCCAGTCAACTCTTACGCAAACTCTCGCTTGCCAACGCTCATCAACTCTCGGCTTTACCAGAGCGACACTCGTACCTTGATATCAAAACATCGAATGATCCTATCGAGAGACGATGTGATCAATACTCCCCCTAGCGCCTGTAGACCGCTGACACTCATGGTGTGACCAGTGTAGGAACGCACCAACTCCCCAGTATTGATGTTGTGTGACTGAACTACAGTATCCGCTGACCCACTGTACAGAATGTTCTCCACTACTTGCATACACAACACTGTCAACTTGTGATCTTTGATATGACGTAATAAAAGGCCAGACTAATAAAAAGAAATTTGAGAGTGATGCAATGAAGATGCCTAGTATCCAGGCCACAGTATGGGTAACTCCAGCTATAGACTAAATTCTGATCTAGGCAAGAAGAACAAAATCCATCACCACAGCTAGAAAGAGCATGTTAAAATTAGTAAAATTGCAAAGTTTGGTTGCGAAATGTTGTAAAATGAGGAAAATTGCAAATTTTGTATAAATTTGTATTACGCGCGGGAAAATGCACCACATTTGGGCCGAACTTTGCAATGTTACTAATTTTAACATGCTCTTTCTAGTTGTGGTGGTGGATTTCGTTTTTCTTGCTTAGATCAAAATTAAGTCTATAGCTATAGTCTATAGCTCCATCTATTTTTGTAGAAAGAATTGGCGTCGAAATCTGAAGCCAAAGATGGCAGAAATTGACGTCTAGTTCTAGTTCCATTCTCTTGTTTTTGTCTGCGGGGTTGACACAAGGTTGCAAGGAGTGTTTGCAAATTTCGTGTTTTAACTTTGATCTCTGGCCGCTTGTCTTGATTAGGCCCCTATGGTTATTACAGGCGACCAGCACTACACCTAATATAATAATTCATGTATTTGTAATTTAATACTGCTCAATAAATGTCTTCTTCTAAAGACTAATACTATGGTTTAATGAACTGATAACGTGTTTAGCGATACTGGAATTAGCTGGGGGGGATGGTATTGAAACTGTTTACGACCTTCAGAGATATTGGACGTCAATGGCCGCCATCTTGGCTTCACTTTTCTCATTGCCGGAATATTGACTGAAGTTCTTACTCCAAATATATAAGCTTACATAGTCGACAAATGACATGGACTTACACTCATCGCGGATGGTGATGGTGGAGTCAAGTGACCTGTGGCAGAAGCGAGCGTTGTCCCTCAGTCGCAGATGATAAGCAGCTAATTCTACTTGGTTCGTGACCGTTGAACTGATCCAGTACACTCGTTTGTCTGTGAAGTTGTATCATGAACAATACTTCGGCAAAACAAATTAGAGCACAGTATTTGACCTGGCAAAGACGTTTTTAGCTCCGGTTCAGTTTCTGATGAGAAAGAAGAGTGCTTTCAGTGACTTGAAACTGCTTAAAGACAGTTTCATGTATACGCTTACATTCACTAATGAGTAATGACAACTTATAAGCTATACATTTTCCGA